GAAGATATAAGGGGCAAGATAATAACAAGGAACAAGGGCCACAAGATGTAGCTTGTGAGGTTCCCATGAGACATTAAGAAAAACTTTTTTCATCGGGAGAATGATGTGGCCCTGGAACAGTCACCAGAGGGATGGGCGGTCTCTGTCTTTGGGGTTTTTCAAGAGTCATCCAGTCAAAACCAGGACCAACCTTGCCTAGTGTATGTGATAGTTCTGCTCCAAGCAATAAGCTGAAATAGACACGTCCAGATGTGTCTTCCAACCGACACTTCTGTAATTCTGTGATTTCATGAGTCTTCATTTCAAATATGCAGGAAGACAGGCTCAAGGCAGCCGTTCTGAATAATAAACACCTTTGAAAAACAAAGCCAAGCACCCCAAATTCTAAACCTGTGTGTCTGTATTTAATTTAGGAACAAAATAAATAGTTTAAATTTTCAGTGACTTTATTCATATGATGTTGTACCTATGAAGAGTTTGTTCAGTCTTTCTCAGTATTGAGGATGGAAAAAGCAGAAAGAACAGCTTGACTGTAAGGTCTCAGGCAAACTGTATGGCAATAAGAAATACCAGTTTTTGACTTCGTTCTAATTGGAGCCTATTTGACCCTGGGGCCAGAGCAGGGTAATGGAACAAGCATGACTCAAATGAAGTCAATTTTCACAGTGTTGTACAGAAACTAAGAGAAAGAAAGAGAGAAATACAGAGAATGTGAAGGAGGAAGAGCTGGAGAGACATTAAGAGCAAGAAGAAAAGGCAAAACATGTCATGAAAAGTGGCCAGAGAAAGGAAGATAAAAGACAAAATGAGGGAGAAAGGAAAAGATGGGAAATAGAAGCCAAGAATAAGATGAAAGCAAAGGACAATAAAAAAGAGGAGTGTCCTTCTGCCCTGCTAGGCAGAGAGATGAGGTGGTAGGACAGCAAGGCGCCCTGGGCAGTAGCACTCATTATTTCCATCCCAGCTGATGTCATTGATTGCTTCCCTCCTCCCTTGTAAACACTCGGTGACAGAGTTGCAGGACTTGCAGAGTTGCAGAGATGCTCCTGCTCTGCTTTCGCATTGCCCGAGCAAAGGCTGGCAACACTGGAAAGAAGTTGCAGTGTTGCAGAGCCATAGCCACATCCTCACTTCAGACTGCTTCCAGATGGCACCCATCAGTAGCCACTGTGAAGTGGTGAGAGATAGAGTAGAGTCTGGGCGATTTGAGACCATCTCCACCAGGGTAGAGACTCTATTCCTAGTCCTTTGGCAATGGCCAATTTGCTCCCTGGCAGTGGGGCTGGGAAACTCCCATAAGACTGCTCTCTCTTGTATGTTGATAGAGTTCATTGCTGTTATTCCGTTAATATTACTATTTCTTTTTAAATCAACCTTTCTTCTTCCTCTCTCTCTTCTCCAAGGAAATTTTCCTCGCGAGACGCAAATCCTACTGCATCCAACCACCTTCTGTCAAGGGGTTTAGTCAGTCAGAAGAAATAAAACAAACGATGCGTCTTTTGCCAAAGGGAAAAAGTGGAGGAGGGTTACGGGAAGAAGGGGAGGACAAAGAAAGCTCGTAACAAAGAAAAAACAGAATCCTACTTTGTGGGCCTAATCCTTTAAGACCTCCTACTCCCAAAGCAGTGATCCCATGCTCTTGTTACAGCCAGTGGTTTTTGTAGTTATCCACCCTCATGATGCCAAGAGGAACCCCATCAGGACTGGACGAACCGTTCCTTCTCTGTAGGCAGAGGCAGAGAGTTTCATTGTATTTCCTCAGATACCGGCCACTGGTTTTGTGAAAGTTTGGCTGAAGGATGATGCAGGGAGATGCACATCAGAGTCTTTTCTGAAGAAGGTGCTGCAGTTAGGTGTTAGCTACTACCTGCCGGTCTGGCTTGCCAGTTGGCCAAATGGCATTTTGTGTATGGTCTGGCTAATCAGCCAGCAGTTGACCCAGGAACAGTCCAGTGCATCCAAGCTCTGGCTTAACTGATGGAGGATTTAGGAGAGGGTTGTGGCTAATGTAGGAAGGGGGACAGGGAAGAGAGTGAAATAATTTGAGGTGTTTTGGGGGGTGAGAGACGGGTTAGAGAGGATATGGAAGGGAGGGCAGCTAGCATTACTGTGCTGGGAATATAGGGATGCAACTTACTCATCTACTGAAATCCAAACTCTGTTTCTGCAGTTGCTCTCAGCTGGTTTAGAGCTGAGTTACACTTTGGGCTTTTTCCTTTAATGTAGCTCCTCCCCCACTTTTATCCAGTTACCCATGAAGAGTCATGAAACGAGACCTACTTAAATCAAATGTCACAATCGATGCTCATCCCAGGCCACCGTTTGTCTGTGTGTGATGTGAACTCATATTGCCCAAGGGGGGGAGCAGTGAGAGAAAAAGAGTTGGAGTGAGTTTGGAGCGAACAAGCAGGGAGCAATCCGTGTCTGAGGAGCGTGTGCTTCCCAATGCATTTATCGCAAACCTACATGTCTGAAGTGGGACTTGCATTCTGCAGGGGGGAAACAAAGCGCAGGGGGCAAGGGAGAGATCTGGCTTCGTGTAGGAGACTGCATCCAACTCTGCCATTTCCCACACTAATGCCTGACTAAACTAGAGACTTCTGTTCGCAGAAGAAGACCCCGTCCTCATTTCATTTTGTAAGCAGAAGAATGCAACATTTCAATGGTCAGAGCATCTGGAATGCGCCAAACTTCAATTTTTGGGTGGAAGATGTACTGAAATGTTGATGTTGTCTTTGATTTTTTTTTTTTTTTGTATTTGCATAGTTCCTGAAAGCTGCTTCTGATCTTCCACAAATATTTGGCAGAAGTACATGCTCTGAGTGGGAATGAAATCACATGAGTTGATGCTAAAAATTGCAGGGATCCAAGTCTGTATAGAAGTTGTGAGTGCGAATCAGTGTGTGAGCTGAAACATTTTCCCAGATCATTTCAGGAAGCTATAGGTGGGGGGAGATGCAGGTCCTGGCTGGACTGGTGAGGCTCAGTGCTGTTCTTCTGCTGTTCTGGCTCTTCTGCACAATTGCTGGTAGTTAAAAGAACTAAGATATTGCCTGAAATCAAGTCCCATAACTTCAGCGAGTTGAATTAGGCTCAGAATCCAGACTCTTGATACGTATCTCTGACTGTGGGGTGAGCCAGTCTCAGGCTTCCTATCTCACAGAGCTAGCTCAAGGAAGCTGTACAGGTGTGCTAGGATAGTGCTGTGTTAGAGTTCATATGGTCACTAGTGAGGGGACATTACAGAGAGGGAGACCACCGTACCGGAATGCTATTTGGCTTCCAGCCTGCAACTGATTTGTATCCAGTATGCTTGGAGTAAAGAACCTCGAATCTGCCTGTACTCCTCTGGGTATATATTCCCAGCTGGGCGTTCATGCCTTTGAATGCATCACTAAATTTTGTCTCAGCTCCTTTAAGCTCTTGTACCAACCTTCCCAATAGCTCCCGCAGGTTTCATTGCAGCAGTATCGTGAAAGTTGTGTTCTTCATTAATTTCCCCAATGAGATTCAAAATGTGAGAGGTGCCCTTGATCAAAATATGCAAGTAAGGAAGATGCTCCCAAGCCTTTTCAAACTTCAGGGACAGTTCAGCTCAAATACCATGATATCAGGATTGTTGTCTTTCGTTCATGGTGGGCACTATGGAGTAAATCTGTACAGATGATGGGCTTTGAGTATCAAATACGTTGCAATGGACACGTGCTTGCTTTGCCCAGGTATCGAGCTGGCCAGACTCCATGTAAGCGTAGTGCTGAGCCTTGCCTAATATATTTTGCTTCACAGAAGGCTTAGTAGCCTGGAACAGGGCTGCAGTATCCTCAGCTTCATGACTTCCTGATGATTGGAGGTTCAGGTTGAACAACTTTATCTCTGTCAACAAAATGGTATGGACAAGTCCTTAGAGGACTGCCTATTCCATTCCCAATTCATGCGTAACTGCATTTTTTGCTCTGTGCCAAGCCCTTGCTATGTCAGAAACTGTGTCATCTCCATAGCTCTAGCAATAGGTGTTGATACTGCGCCAATTTAGTAACAACCTCACTCCCACACCTCTGCACGCTGCATAATCATTCTAAATAGAAGGTTCTATTGTGTCTCCTGCGCTATGGGTCTCTGCTTCTCTGCGTTCGTGCCAGCAGATATCATTGACGTGGAAGTGAGAAACATGCTGGATAAAAGGCCTGTAGCAGAGAAAACCAACTGGGACCCGGACACTCAGTCTAAACTAAGAGAAGGGGGAGTTTAGTCCTCAGTGATGAAGAGACCTGGATTAAGAGAAGAGTGTTTGTTCTTGACATTGCAAAAGCTGATGGCTAGCAGATTCTTTGTTTTCAGGCAGCGAAAGAGAACCGTTCCACAGCTGCATTTCCTCTCAGGGCCCTGCATCTGAATAAATGTCCCATGTAGTAGTGAAAGAGTGATGAAGTGATGGAGTGAAAGGGTGGTGAAGTGATGGATGATATGACTGAATGCAGGGTTCGTGAGGAGGATGTTTATATATTTTTTTTTCTTTTCTTGCTTCGTCTCCTCCCTTGCCAGATGGATGTTTGTAGTCAGTGGAAGATTTTCACCTTCTTGTCATCCTCCAAGCTTCAGCAACAGCCGTTCCCAGAAGAGCTCGTTTGTAATTGTTCTAGTGTGGGCACTGCCTTCTGCTATTGCCTCAGTAATTATCTCAGAAGTTTCACACTGAGTATGAAGGGCCTGATCTTCCTCATGCGACCTGCACTTTTTACACACCTGCCTTGCCATGAATATCACAGTTGTTACTTCAGGCTTAACACTGATGTGTACCAGAGCAGAATCGGGTCCAAAGAAAGGCTGGGTCGACTAGAAATAGATTCTGATCTTAAATTTTCTTTATTTGTATGTTCAGTGTGATGTGAAGGTCAGGTGAGTTGGCACACAATTAGGAGGAAAGTGATTGCCCTGAAATAGAGCTGGTAGCATTTGCTGAGCATCTTTTTTTTTTTAATGCCTTATTTTCTCTCTTTCAGAACATGGAAAAGGTGCTGGTCCCTTCTGTCACGTTAATTGTAGGCTGTGGAGTATCTTCGCTGACACTTTTGCTGTTGATTATCATTTATGTCTCTGTTTGGAGGTACGACTTTCATTCTTCTCTCTTCTTGTTGGGAAAAGCAACTGTCTCTTGATCTAGCTGGATCCTGCAGGTTTTGTTCTCCTCTTTTAGGTGCTTGGTGCCTGAGGAAGAACTGTTTTGTAATGAATGGGTACTGCAGAAAGTCATCATGGTGACTTAGTTGGCATTATTATTTCCTTTCAGTGCCAGAGAAATTAGTACAGTGAAATTAGTGCCTTGACCCTTTGTAGTCACATTGTTCTGTTTTCAAAAGCTATCTGCTGTTTTAGATGCCTTCATATACCCCAGGAAACCTTGTTCTTGGAGAAGTGGACGTTCATTGCCTTCTCATAGCCAGGTTGCTTTAAGGTATTCCATGTTGGATCTCTGATAAAATCAAAGGATCCAGGATTCTTTATGAAAACATCTGGCCTGAAGAACTGACAGTACTTTTCAGGAGCTTAAAGATTTTAAACCTCATAGTCTAACTAGCTCTCAAATTGCTTAGCTACATTCTACCTTTAGCTTCAAATGCGTTTGCGATTCTTCAGTACTTCCCATTGCAGAGAGTTCCTGTACACCTACAAGCAGCTGTCAAATGCAGCCTTGGAAAGAGCTGCGTAATTTGTGGAAATTGAAATGATTTATTAGCAAAGTTTATTTGAACCAGGGCCACATCAGCCCCGGCCCATTTTGGAGGACTGTACGAGCACTGAGAATCTCAGGTGTTCGTGGGATTCTCCCTCTGTACTTCTTTAAACAAGGCTTGAGTTTGCCCTACAGAAACCTGTGCCTTTCCTAAACCCATGACAAACATACTGAGAGCTTCACGACTCGAAGCTAAACAAAACAAAGAAAATCAGAACTAGGTGAATTACTGTGAAATTGAAATGCACTGACTCCAGAGAATATACTCATAGGAACTTGCTGGTGACCCTTTTATGAAAGCAGTCTGAGGCTCTTATTTTATTAGATGTTTCTTCTTGGTAAGGAGGAAAGAATAAGTTCAGTTCCGAGCTGTGAATCAAGATCACCTTTCCTACCATTTGATGGAGACAGAAAAAGAAGAGACAAGACAGTAAAAATGAGCAAAAATGTATCTTTTTGTTGATACGCTGACACTGCATAGTGGCTAGTTAATTACAGTAAGTGCTCTGAGCTGAGGACTAGTCATGATAGCATTTAGCTAGAACTCAAGTTTTCTGCAGCTGTGGTGTCACTGGGTCTGCTCAAGTCCTTTTCCTCTCCTGGTTTTCTTCAGGCTGGGTAGGCACCTCTTTTGGTTGGGATGGTGACTTACAGTTGCACTGGCATCAGGATTGAGTGGAAGTTTAGGAGAGAGGAGTGAAAAGCAAGATAGTCTGCTGGTTATTTGTTGCAGCCTTATGCTCACTTTCTTATCAGGAACATGTTCAGGATCAGAAAACTAAGTTCAGAAATTAGGTTGAATCAGATACCTGCTTTCTGTTTGGAGCATGTCGGAGTAGTTTGGAATAAGATAATGTTACTATCTTTTTTCAGGATTGTGCCCCTGAATAGTTATTGTTATTGAAAAGAGGAAAGTTAGTTACTCTCCCTATTAAAAAATATACCCTGTTTAGCTTCTAATTACAGTCACGGGCTAATGTTTAAGCCCAGAATGACCTGAGGCAAGCTCAAAATGAATGGAAGAGCACATTTATGAGAGGCTTGAATGGGAATTTTTGAGCTAGCTAAGGATGGACATGTGTTTCCAAGTGATCCTGAGACCAGATATATCTTGATTAAAAAGCTCTCTGTCCTAAGAAGTATTTTCTTTATATAAATATATCTGGAAACCATGATCAAGTCATCTCTGGACTTTCTCTCTGGTGGACGGAGTTAGTGTCGTTTCTTATCTGTAGATCATCTTTTCCTGTTTTCTGAACTTCACAGCATTCCTGTGGCTAAGCCCTGAGCACTCTCCAGAGTGTGTGCTCTTTTTATCTTAGGCATAGCTGCTGGACATGAGTGCGCTGTCCTGTTAATGATCTCTGGAACATCATATTGAAGTTAACATTATCTCCTGGCTCCCACTTGATTTTGCCCAATATGTTATACAATCTATCCATTCTTGTAGCTACAGACAGACATCTGGAGGAATTCTCATAAGTGGGATCAGCTGTATTATTCTGGCTGTTGTTGCTAAAGTACAGGAATTGTGTCAAAGTGGACTCTTTTTTCCAGTGCACAAGAGAGAAACTTCTTGTCAGAACAGTGTCCTATCCACGTGGTATTCTGTGGGGAGCGCTCACTGAAACTCAGCTGTTTTAAGGAGTTTTGGCTGTGAAATTTCTCATTCAGACCTTTGGACAAAGGCTACTGGAACGTGTACACATAGGCTCAGCTTGAATATGAACCTGTCCTAATGAATAGATTCACTGAGGCTGACAATCTGGAAATTTTCCCAGAGTTTTGCCCAGCAAGAGTTTGTTTATGCATGGAAAGCAGAAAGAGAAGGAAGCAAAAAAAAAAAGAAAGGAGAGGGAGAGGAGTATGTTAAGTGAAAGGGGGCAAGTAAGAGTGAAGTGATCCCAGCTTTGGGCTGGGTATCAGAGAGGAAATTAATTTACCCTCTGCTTCTCATTCAAAACCCCAATAGTGGTTGGTTACTAGTGGCATCTTCTCAGCCATCAGTGTAACCGGCATGAGCTTTTTGATGCAAGCAATCACTTCAGATGCAGCCAACTTGGCAGAATCTCATTTTAAGCTGGATGTTGTGGCTGTTTGACGGTTGTTGGTGGCCTGTTGGTGGACTCACTCCAGTTTCCAGTAGACAGATGGTTACGAAAGCTCTGGTACAGATGGTGCGTCTCTACTCTTATTAGCAGTCTTGACAGAGAGGTCAGTGGCCTAGTGGGCCACAGAAATGGACTGACTTCGATACCTCTGGGGGCAGTGACTGTTCTAGGTCAGAGCTGAAGAGACAACCTGTCTGTGGGCCATGTGCTCCACCACCTGTGTGGAAAGGAGGGGAGATTCAGACAGAAAGATCTACCCACTTGAACACACCTGAAAATGAAAAGCAGGGAGAAAAGGAATTGCTGATAGGTCAGAACATGCAAAGTGGCTTAGTGCCATACTTATCCTAGCTCTGGTGTGTACAGGAGGTCTTTGCAAGCAGCTCCTTGACATGGTAGCTTTTCACAAGTATCCCAGTGTGTTTTCCATCCCTGAACTCAGCACAGTTCAACAGCTTCCAGAGTCGGAGTGACCTTTCCGTAGCTTGGAGATGAACGCTCACTATTGAATAGATCTTCCACCATTTCTCTCATCAGCCAGTCAGCATGTGGGGCACTGCAGACCTTTCTCACTGATAGTGGCTAAAGGAATGCCACATCGCTGAAAGATAAGAGTACGAGCTTTTCTCACTCCCTGCCCATCAAGGCAGAGGATTGATTTCGTGGTTGTCAATGAGCTCTCAAGGGGCTTTTGTTCCTGTCCTGGCTTTAAATCCGATAGCTCTGCTTTTACTGAAGATGCTGAGGTACTCGATGTCCCTGTTGGGAGGTAGCTAGAGTGACTAAGTAACTGGAGAAGAATGTGTATACGCACAGACTGAGAGAGAAAGTGAGAGTGAGTCAGTGTTTGTGGAGAGGCAGGTAGTGTAATGGGGATGGAGAGACAAACTGCAGGGTTTTCCCACATTCTCCATCTGTCTCAGTTGGCATAGGACTTCCCCACATCCCACAAGACCTAGGCCAGACCAGAAGTTCTCTAAATTCTGAGTGAGAGTTTCCCTGGCTTTAGAGGCTGAGCACAACATTTTATGTCAAGTAAGGAGAGCGTCCTTGTAGCAGCAAAGGAATAGTGACACAGCACGCTAGAGTATCTCTGCGTTTGCTGCAGATCTCTCCTCTGGCACAACCGATAAAGGCCTGTCTTTTTCCCCTATCTGCTGTGATGTTTTTGGCCAGGCAGTCTGGATAGTAATGCTGATTTCTTTCTGTGGAGCATCTTTGTGCTGGAGAAGGGGAGAAGCAAGAAAAAAAGCAATTATGGCAGGATGCCACCCTCCCTTAGCAGGGAGGCTGATTCCCTGGAGAGCAGCACTGCCATTGAAAAAGGGCCTCAGCAACCTGGAGATATGGGCTGGAGAAATGGTATAACAAAGTCAAGCGAAGAGCCCTGCACCTGGGACAGAATGACCACATGAAATAGGATAGACTGGGGACTGGCTGGCTTGGTGATACCTCCACCCAGGAGGTGGTGGGGGTCCTCGTGGGCAATGAGTTGAACATGAGTCAACAATACAGCCTTGCAGCAATGAAGGCCAGCCTTATACTGGGCTGTGTCAGCAAGAATGTAGCCAGCAGATCAAGGGAATTGATTGTTCCCTCCACTTGACACTTTAGAGACCACATCTGGAATTCCATGTCTGGTTTTGGACCCCTCCATACAAGAGAGCAGTCAACAAATTGGAGCAGGTCCAGTGGATGCTTAGGGAGATAGAGAACATGATGTACAAGGAGAGGCTGAGGGAATAAGACCGGTTTAGCTGGAGAAGAAGAAGGTATTACAGAGAAGTCAAAGTATAGATAGATTCATGGCTTGGTACCCTGCAGCTACAAGTGGGACAGGAGTCAAGTGATCCACGACCTTATATTGAGCCTCGTATAGTGGGGTAATTTGAGGTCAGATTAGCCCCGAAAGGAACCAAAGGATAGTTTTGTGTGCAGCCAACCCAGCTGCTAGCTGAGCTGGAGGCCTGAGTTTGCAGTGAATTATGGGATTGGGGTGAGTTTCAGGCAAAACTACCTCTTAAGTCAAGTTTCCAAGAGACCCGCGACAAGTTCAGGCTGTTTCCAGCTTCCAGCATTGCATCAGTCACTCTTTTTATCCAGAAAAGCCTATCTTCAATGTTCCAGTTTCTCTCAAGGTAAAACTCAGAGGGAAGTTAAAATCAAAGTTTTGCACTCTCCAGTAGGTCTAAAGCAGAGATTCACCCTCGGCACAATACAGACATCAGGGCTGCTGAATGCAGTTAGCTCATCCTGCCCACCGAGCAAGAAATGCAGAACTTGGCAGCCAAAGCACGACAGATTCACTCTTGCTAAAATTTGTTGATGAAATAAAATTCCTAATATAAATAGTTGATATGCCAGAATATATACTGTAGGAAAATAATCCTGCATTAGCCTCCGGGGATGAGCTGGTTGGTTAATAGATCTGTCTCTAATTTCCACAGTCGTAAGAGTCTACTCTTTATTCAGCTCGTATTCAGGCAGAGCATTTGCCAAATCACTGGGATTTTTCACCTGTGTAAGTGCTGGTGTGGTCAGGGCCTTCACTTTAATTTTATCAGGTACATAAAAGTGCGTTCAAAGAAATTTTCCTCCGGTAACAACCAGTGATTTGAATGAATTGTCATGCACATAGTTCAGGAGCAAGTTGTTACTGTGCAGCACACTGCAAATCAGAAATGACAAGTGGCTTGCTCCTGCAAGGTGCTGAAGGCAACAGCTTCCTCCCTTGGATTCCTAATGTCCCAGACCCATGGCTGCCGTTATATATTTGGCCTAGTTTTGAGGAGTGTTAAACCTCTCCATAGGGCAAATTGTTAAATATCGCTCTTTGGAAAACAAGCCACAAATACTTTCTTATTTCTGAGATAAGTTTTCAGGATAAACAAAGGGGAATGCTGAATTGCAAACACTTTGTTATGAAAGTGCATGCGTCCGTAATCTGTTTTCACAGCCAGCATGCCTGTGGCTCTTCTTATTTGGGGATCTTTCCATGTGTGCGTGTATGTTTTCTTTGAAGCTGTTTTTCAAGTCCCCTTTCAAGTAAGCAGAGCTGAAGACGACTTACAGCACTCAGTATGTTTTAGAAATGTTTCAGCTGTACAGGAATCACGATAGCATCTGTGTTTGCAGTGACTGGGATTAAAGAGTGCAAGGGCCCTCACTCGTTGCACTTCAGGGTACAAGATGATCACCAGCTGATCAAGAAGAGTGCTGCTCTCAAGTTGGTTAGTATTGCACAGTGAAGGCCCTCGAGCATCCAGGTCTGCCTGTTGTGGAGACCAGGTACTGGACCATGCTGGCCCCTAGTTTATTGACTGAGGTGCATAACAACTCTAGCATTGATGGGGAGGAATGAGAGATCAGTCAACTGAGCACCGCACTTAGGCTCTCCTCCTCCCTTCTCCCCTTGTTCTTGTCTGTTCACCATGCCAAGTCTGCAGAAAGTGGAATATCTCTTACTGTGGTCTTGTATAGCGTCTGGCCTAGTCCAACCTGCCTGTGATTGATACATTTCAAAGTAACTTAGTGCAAATTGTGACAGGAGGGATGTCCCTCCCCCTTTTCTCTTTTTGCAGGTATATTCGCTCAGAGCGCTCTGTCATTCTTATCAACTTCTGCCTGTCCATCATTTCCTCCAATGCTCTCATTTTGATTGGACAAACCCAGACCCGGAATAAGGTAGGAGATTAGTTGGACTTTGTTTGTTTGTTTGCTTCTCCCCTGATTTAGCACTGAAATGATCTATTCAGGCAGCACTTCCTCTTTTTTCCTCCATCTGTTAATTAGCTACATGTCAAAGACATGACTAAATGGCAGATTTCAATTTTCTCTCTCGCTCTCTCTTTGATAATTTGTCAGCATCCTCAGGGCTTTGATTAAAACCAATGTGATATTTTTGAATATCTGCCTGGAGTTAGCTGGCACATGGCACAGTGAAGAAACATGGTTATTTGTGAGGCTTTAACCGTTTTATTTTCCAAACATTAAAAAGAAAGACGGCAACTTTCATTATCCAAGCTCAAAGCACTTGTCAGTTGTCAATACATATAGCTCCAAAAATGACCCCTTTTCGAGCAAGAAATGTCACCAGACCCCCCATGCACACTGCAGAGCTGAGACACAGGGAACGTGAGGGACTCGCCGCAGATCACTGTGTGACTCGAGTGGTAAAGGCGAGAAGAGAAGCAGGATTTTCAAGCCGTGTGCACTAACTGCAGAATACATTCTTTTCCATGTTACAGGGCAGGATGGAGGAGAGTATATTGCCTGTATGACTTTTCTCCAGCTAAAGCAGTTTCCGTTTCCCGATTGGCATCGTGAATAAAAAATCACTGATTATCTAGAATTTTCATGTTGTACACTTTCTGTCCCCCCAAGTGCTCAAACTATCCAAATTCTACTAAGCAGAAAGTTGAGACAGGATGTGACTTTCAGCTACGCTGACTGCTGAAGTCACAATCGGAAGTCAAATTAGTTTTAACTTCAATAGTGACCTGTGACTAACGTGTTCTTCTGAGTCTCTACCTTGACAGCCAGGGCGTACTGTCACTTTTAGAAGCTTTTCTGCAGAGAAGCCCCAGGATTTAATGAATCAGAGAGACTCATTGTCCTTTGGTTTCTACAGAGGGCCCTTCAGGTCGGGGCTAGCTTATGTTTTACATACAGCTTCACAGCTGCTTGAGTCGTATGTGTGTAGAGAAGTGGGGAGAGGTGCAGACAGACACCCTGTTGAGCAAGTGCTGTTCAGAAACTAGCTTCACAAAGCAGTGCCGTCTGTCTTTCATGGCCATCGTGGCTTGCTTGGGGGAAGAGGTGGAGAAAAGGTGAGACAGGCTCTGCACGTGCTTTCTCTGGGTGTGTTGTTTGAAATCCAAAAGAGGTGTGTGTACATGAGAGCTAGGAGCAACTTTTCATGGAAAGAAACGCGATGGGATACTGAACATGGCAAACCATGGCTGGACCTCCTCTTTGATTCTTCTTCATCCCAGGAGAGGAGGAGGAGGGTGTCTTCACCCTCTCCCACCCCTTTTAGAGCACAGTTATGTGCCTAGGCTTTCCCTCGTGTTTTTTCTCACTTTACTCTGGTTTTTCATCATCCGAGCTGTTAGCAAGGATTCAAAGCTCCCGGCTGCAATTGCATGAGGCAGATTAGCTCTTTGCATATAAATATGCATGAAACACCATAAATAGAAAGGTTATTCTTGGATTTCCGCTCAGCCATCTAGTAAACAGTCTCTGGCAGGGAACAGAGAAAGAAAACTATACAGAGAAGAGACCAAGGCTTCCATGGAGTGTAAATTAGGAATTTATTCACATTCAGTTATTGATAGTGGAACTTCTGAAATTTGTTGGTGATTGATTGATAATTGCAGCTACTCTGGGAGAATTTCTATGGCATTAGTTTCCCTGGAAATGACAAATTCTCCCTTCATTTCCATCCGTGTAACCTGCACGCCTGCGTTTGCTAAGCTTTTTGAAGATGAAAGGCCTTGGAAAAGGCTAAATATTACAGTCAGCAATAACACGATACAAAAGAAATGAATGCTGCATGAAATGGCCCTATCTCAAAGGCATGGTTACGTGCTGGATGGAAACAGATTTCTCCTCTTAGAGAAAAACAAAGGCTAATGGACTTGACAGGCTGACAAGCTCTGCTAGATCTTTCTGCAACAGTTTAAGACATCATATCCCTCTGCTCAGCCCTTTCTGGAGATTACTTTTTTTTTTTCCTTTCCACAGCAGAGGGAGCAGAAGCAAATATATGCCTGCCTGTCAGCTGGCTGAGTTCACAGCCCAGTCGCAGGAGTTTGAGTTGAGGCAATGGGCTCTTGAGAAGTTTGAAAGCCAAAGGCTGTGCCCCGAGAGGTGTAGGATCACTGCTCCGTGAATTGCTTGTGTCACCTCTCACCCGTAGGTTGCTTTTTCCTGCCCTGCAGTGCAGCAGCGGGAAGCAGCTCTGTCGACAGAAAAATATATAGTGGTCAAAGTCATTGTATCAACCATGTCATCCTAGAAAGTTGTCTACATAGCAGTGTCTGATAGTATTTGTTACCTCTGAAGTCTCAGAGAAAAGGCTGATGTTTGAGATGACTGGAAGACCGTTCTCACTCTCCTGTCCTTCCCTGTGGTATCTCCGTGGGAGGGTTGGGAAACCATGAGGGAAGACTCCCTTGTCAGTCTTGATTCTGTACCTAAAATTAGGCCTTTGATCCCAGTGGATTTTAAAATAGTTCCGTGCACAATCAGGAAATATAGATGTGCTTATTTTTCCATGTGGTCTCCTCTCTCTTCTCTTCCCCTTTCCCTTAAAACTATCTCATTAATATCTGGTTAAGTAAAAATGCCTAGAAAATGCAGGGAAATTGGAAAGCAAAGACTTTCTCTCCCTTTTACAAACTGCTGGTGAAGAGGGCAGAATTTTGTTGATGGAGAACAAATCAACAAAATACAGTCATCAATATGATTTCTAATATTGGCCCCCCAAAATTTCTAAAATGAAAATCTCTTAAAATATATTCCTGAAAGCATCCTGTGTTTGTAACTATTTTACTTAGGTCTATAAGCTGATGAGTAACAGCCACCTTTTTTATGATTCCTTTTAAATGTGAAAATTACTTCAAATTATCATATTGAGATGTATTATTTGTACTGAAGTGTCATCCAGAATCCATTTATAGGCAGAATACCAAGGTTTCTGGTGTCAAATACGAATGTGGAACAAAACACTGGTTCCTGCCTCAAAGACCATTCAGTCCCACTTTTATTCACAACCTCTGATAACATCAGTTTTCCCAGTGTATGAATTGAAAGCAATTCGATGAAATAATGGTAAAAAACACTCGGTGTATGATAGTTCTGTGTTAAAAGATGCTGATGGATGAAAAAAGAGGAAGGTTCATTGACCTTAAACCCAAATCCATGTTTCCTGGTATAACTCAAAGCAGAGGAATTCTGTATTATAAATCCCCTTTTCTGCCCTGAGTTCCTTAAGGCATTTTTTCGCCCAGAGTCACTTGTAAAATCTGTTTGCTCCCACTTCTCCTTGGCAGCCGTTGGAATTAATTTCCATCATTTTGTTCTTGAATATATTGATTCATAGGGTCAGATTTGCAGATGGTAAGAATTAAACACAGGTCTGGTAGAGTTAACAGAGCAGCACAATTTGCACCAGCAAAAGATTCGGCCTTACCGAGTTAAAAACAAAGAAGAGCTTGTCAGCTTTCCAGTCCATCTCCCTGGCACTACAGGATTGTTCTTCGTAATACTTTTGCTAGTACTTTTCCCCGTTTAATTTTAAATGGCTTAAGCTTCCTGCATTTCCTTTGGGAGACTGCTCAGTGGAGTAGTAGAACTCACCATTATGAAATTCCTTCTAACATTATTTTATTTTTTTCTTTTTCTTTCCTCCCTTAGTGCTAGTTGCACTCTCTTGAACAACTCCACCCCTTTTGTTTTTACAGTCCTTACCAGCCACTAGCAGTCATGGTTTCACCCGACTCTCACAGCTTAATTCTTTTACTTCACAAAGAACAATCCTTTTCTGGCAGGGACACAACCTAAATTACCTTCCTCTGATTTCATTTCTGTAGTTCTGTTGCCAAAAACATGGTGCTTACAAAGCTTTTGAGCTGAGATTAGTCTAAGGTTTAATAACTGATCTTTTCTCTCTGAAAGGATTTTGACAGTGTTTTTGATCATTTGGAAAATGAATATGTCTCGCTGAAGTCAAGAGAACAACACTTTTGCCTTGGATAGGATGTGGGTTCAAGCATCAGTTCAGCAAAATTAACCATGGGCTTATCTATAAGCTTATGCTTAAATGCAGTTGATTTCCACAAAGTGCGTAAATTTAAAGCAAATGCTTTAGTCCTTTGCCAGGTTAAAGCTTGCAAGGGAGATGATTGTCTGCTCCTGGAATGTCTTTTCGTTTTCTGATTCCTGTGATCTTTCCTTCCAGAACCTGGTTTGGAAGCAGCTCCCTTTGCCTCCTGCTGTCCTCTGAGTTGCTCTCTCCGCCTGCTGCTCTTCTCACATGTCCTCCTTTCCTCCTATCTCCAGGTGATATGCACGCTGGTGGCAGCTTTCTTGCACTTCTTCTTCCTCTCCTCTTTCTGCTGGGTGCTGACAGAGGCCTGGCAGTCCTACATGGCAGTGACGGGCAGGTTACGGAACCGCATCATCCGCAAGCGATTCTTGTGTCTCGGATGGGGTGAGGATCGTGGGGCTGGGAATTAGCCCCCCCCCCCCCCCGGGGGAAAAAAAAGGGTGTGCGTTGCCCCCCCCCCCCCCCGGGGAAACCACTTTCCCCCTCAAATATGTCTTTTACCAGAGCTGGGGAGGCAGGGAGAGTCCATGCCAGAAGAGGGAAGGATATGTTGTGAAAGAATTTGTAGAGCGCGGAACGTCAAGAGGCAGTTACAGCCCTTTTGGGGGTGTCAAGAAGGGCCGAAATGGTTAAAATACCGTAAGCGAAACTCAGTCTTAAGAAGTTCTGCCTGCGTCCAGTCCATCCAAAGGTCACACAAAACAGATGAGGCGAGAGGCGGTTGCATTTTCAAAAAGTTTGGGAGTATGCTAGGGGTTGTCCTTGCTTTTGCTCTCTTTCTTGCTTTCTCTTTCTCTGTGTCTCCTTGCATGTGAAACCTGGAGCAAAGCAAGCTCTGAAATTCTGTCTCCATGGCAGCAGGGGCTCTGATAGACAAATAAACTGTTAGACTGGTGCAGATGTTTGTAACTAATTTTTCTCCTTCTGCCTCTTCCGTATGTTTAATTTATCAGCCTTAAATGATGCATTCTGTAGTAGAAAACAAATACAAACCCATAACCTAGACTTTCAAAGCAATAACAAGCTTGAATTTGAAAAGAGCCACTGAACAAAAAGTTGCTAGAAAGCAAGTAGGCAAAAAACAGAAAGAAAGAGAGAGAGAGAAAGCACTGTGCTTCTAAGCTGTATTAGTGTCTCATTTTACTACTGAAGTCAAACATTTTACCCCAGGCAAGATATTTCTCATGCTTATGAAGGGCCTTGATGTGATTAGTTCTGACACATCAAGAACCGTCCTTGTTCCAGCACCTGCACTCTAGGGTAAAGCAGTTTCTCTGTCCTCCTGATCATTTCACAGCCTACTTCATTTTACCTGTCCTGAGTAACCTGACCTGGTTAACCCATGAGCGCTTGGTGCTAAACAGATTTATTGCTTCCTAGTGACTGCGCTGTGACTGGAAAACGCTCCACAGCCTAAGGAGGGTAAGATAGGCCTGCTAACATGAGCACAGTAACAGTGCAAGTAGGCCATTTCGGGCCAAATTCTGCTGTGAGATGCATTCTTGCGACACCCGTTGATCAGGAGTGGAAAATGCACGCGCATAGTCAAAGCCACATCGTTTAGCACTAAGTAGCCAGGCAAATATGCCTCTCTTTCCCTGCTGATTCTGCTCCAGTGGAACAACTAAATGGTTCCTCCCACTTCACGGGCGGAAGGGATTTGTTTTCCTGAAAAACTGAAGAGTACACAGTCTTTGGATTTATAGCACAGTATCTGTGCTTAAGAATGAAATTCCTACTCATGTTTTTTCCTTAGCTTATAACTGAAAACAAAATAAATTATGATCCTGAGGTATGATATTTGTGTGTAGCACAAGAACCTCACCACTTGCGTGCAAAGCACGTGCGACATCGTCTACGTGTGCATGTGTGTGCTTGTGCATATGTTTATACGCAACTCAGGCAACTTCAGGGGTATGGAATACAGTAGACTAATGGCTTTTCTAGGTGAAAAAAGGGGAGATCCATTCTGATTTGTAAATGCTGGGAGAAACAGCTGTGTTAGCTAAGAGGGTTTTGGACAGGCAACATTTCCAGTTGTAATCTGTAGAGATTTAAAAAAAAAAAAAAAACCCTACATGTGTAGAAGCATAATTTCATCTGCTACTGAAATGTACTGGTCTCTGAGCTAGGATACACTGGTTGATAAATGATGCATAATAACAATTTAGAATAGATTAGGACAAGAAGTGAAGAACACTCCAGCCTATTAAGGCAGCAAGGGAATTTCAGATATGCAGCGCAGTCTTAGACTTTAACAGTAGACTGGAATTAATGACCCCTCTAAGAAGACAGAAGCAGAAAATATGTTTTAGAGAGTATAATCTCAAATAATTAGCACAATTCACTTTGTAATGGATTGATTCTCCCCCTTCTCCTCCTTTATGTATTAAACATTCTTCTAAGCCCTTGTTCTAGCTTTCTTTGCCAAATTCTCAGCTGCTGTCAGTTGTAGCCTCAATGAAGCTACAATAGTTTCTAGCAGCGGTGAGTTTTATTCGCTGTTTTTCTGTTCTCTTGGGTATGCAGCTTTGCCTTTCCAGAAAAAGAACTGTAGAGTTTGTAGTAATTAGAAATACTTTAAATTATTTAGAATAGAAAGATGAACTATTCCCTGGAAACAATTCAGTCATCACATTTAGCCCATGGAAAGAAGAAATCATTTTGTCATTCTTTATATGACCATGTCATAGTTTCCACTATTGGATTTTTTATGCTGCCATAGCTCAGGGTCTGAGTGGGTCTTCAGTTTTTCATAACAATTATGGCTCTTAGTGGTTGTTATTAGCAAGTGACCTTTTTTAATGGAACATGATGAGCACATGATCTGATTCTCCTACTGGACTGGAATAACAAAACTCTTAGAGTCAGGTTTCTGACGTGCTTATTTGGAATTGTGAACGTAGAATTCACTTTTTGCAGAAAAACACAAACTGTCAGTGATTAGGTGGCAGAAGGCTTGTCTAAAACACCTACAGTACATTAAATAAATCAATTAGATTTTTTTTAATAATTGAAAAATATATTGACAGTTTTGTGAAAATGTTTAGTTTTTTTTTTTTTTTGATAGGATTGTGGGAATTAAGGAAAACCCCCGTAAGAATTTCATACCTGAGGAAGTATTAGTCTCCAACACCTATATAAAAATTTAAACAGGTGTTTATTAATATACCTTTTCAGCGTGCTTATCCAGCTGTGATTAGCCACTCAGTTTCCAGGTCTCTGCCAGGCAGGCTAGCACAGTACCCCTCATGACCATGCTCATTGGCTTAGCTACCACGGTATAGCTAGCACCTTCAGTAAATGGAGCTTAGACAGCTCCTTTTTCTGTACAAGCTGGGACTCCTACCCAGACTCCATACAAGCCAGTCCCTGAAAGCCAACAAGTTCACAGCCTGAGTATGTGTTTCTGCATAATTATCTCTTCTAAGCGAAGCACTTTTTGTGAAGAACAAATTACTATTTTTGGCAGAGTCCCACCCAACTTTTGTCTTTCACAGGGCCTCTTGCATTGCACTATACTCTTGAAAAAGCCCTTTTCACATATGGCTTCTCGCTGTGCTTGCCAGAGGTGCCAATGAGATGCCATATTGATGGTATTACAGTGAACACCATGCAGGTGATATGTCCAGGATGCCCAGAATGCATCCAGCTGGGGTGCGAAGGAGGCTCTGCCAAAAGGGAAATAGTAGATTAAGAGAAAACATAAGAGACATCTTTTAAAACCGTTGCCTGTGGATTGTGAGCTGATCAAAAGTGAGTTGTGCTTGGGGATCTCTTTTGGGAGGACAAACACCTTCCTTTATGATAACGCTCAAACGCTTTATATTCCAGCCAACTTGGCACTGTACCTCCAGGCTGGCTGCTGGTCCTCGCTGTCGTTCAGTCTTATGGTGATTTGTATTGCCAAGTGATCGCTGTGTTTAGCTACCAGCAGGTTTATTGATTGGATGCTCTTTCTTTACTCCCTTTCCAAACTACAATACTTTTACATCCGCCTGACATGACCTCTACAGCACAAGAATTAGGGTCTTGTCGAGCAGTGCTAATCCTAGCTGGCTACTGATCCTGCTAATTCTTAATGGGATTTGCCCATCTTTAGCATTGAGACGGCTTACTTCACAGCGTCACGAGGAGGAAGTCTATAAAAAGCCACATGGAGACCTCTGTAGCTGAAGAACCAGATGTTACTATCCGATACTCTGGCATTTCCTTATGGAAAGCAGAGAGCAGGGATGGGGACAGTGAACCAGAAAAGCACCCAGTCTCCTTTGTAGATACTTGAACAGTTTATCGTTGCAGGGATAGGAAGGATGGAAAGATTATTAGCAGAAGATAGCCTGCACAGCGTTACCTCTAGGCTGCTAGTCCTGATTGTGCCCAAGCATTTAATAGCCCACCCTTTTCAGTTCCTTTTGTGAAATTACTCTGAGTTTCAGGCCTACACTTCACAACAGCCAGCAAATTTTCTTCTGCGCTCTTCCCTCGCTTTTATGGGAGCTTCTAGCATTAAGATCAAGGACATAGCTTCGCTCTCATATGCACCTGCAATGCCACCTCACGCTGGCACCGTTAGTTCATGATCCCCTAAAGTAAATTGTCTATGCCTTGTGCACCGTGAGCTTAAAACGGGACTAGCATACCAATTATATGCCATAGTCATAATGAGATGAGTTGCTGATTTCTCATAATCTATTCCACCTCAGGACACGAGAAGGCAACAGGTCTCTTTTTACAGCTGGCAAGAAAACAAGTACTCTGCTGTAGAGAAGACCTGCTGTTCTGATATTCTTTTTCACTGTGCTGCAGAGGGACTTGCTCTGTTATAGATCATGGCCAAGTGCTTAGGGGACCTATTTGGGATAGGGAAACTCAAGAGTCCAATTCCTGCTCTGTGTCATTTGGGGTGATGTTCAAAACTGGACTGTTGATCTGTCATGTTACAAACAAGCATAGCCCTTAATCGTTGACTTTCTCGCTCTTATGGGTTGGCCTGAGACTGGACACTCCACCTTGCAGTAGACTCTGATATTCCTGACTAGCTTGCGTCCCCAATAATAAAATGAGTGTATTTTACACATCCACATGCGTTGTCAGTCCGCACAGAACTGGTGAGTCCACAGCAGAATATGAGCTTATTACAGCTGCAGGCTGATGGCATTGACTCCTTTAGCGGAGGTAACAAGAGTTCATGCTTTTGGCTTTATAGGTCCTGAGTTCAATCTCTGCCAAAGACCCAGGCTGGGACAGATGGTGCTAGAATAACACTGGGCGGAATGGAATATATCAAGTGGCTGAGTGGGAGCAGACCTGCACATGTGCTGAAATGACCAATTTTCTTCTGTTTCATTTTCATAGGGCTCCCTGCCTTGGTGGTTGCCATTTCCGTGGGATTTACTAAAGCCAAGGGGTACGGCACCGTGAACTAGTGAGTAAAGGGACTCTTTTTTATTCTTCCTTTCTCACCCACCCAGATGAATAAATGTAGGAAGCTAAGTTCTTGGTGTGCCGTCCGTGACAGAAGGAGGCAAGAATGATGGAAAAGGAAGGAGCCATCATGCCTCCCTGTCTCGTCAAGCCATCAGCTGCCAGTGCAGATCTGGAAGCTGTACATGTTCTTCCCTTTTATCTGAATGCCTGGGTGAAACTTTAGGAGAGCAAAGTTCCCGGAGACAGGGTTTATTACTGAAATGGGAGCAGCCCTGTTAGCTCAGTTCAGCTGAACAAGAAGGAGATTTTCACCATGGAGACATGAGCACAATAGTCAGTAGCATGGTTTGAATTTATCTGTATTTGCTTCTGAAGCACCTCTCCTGAAATACCATCAGGGACTAGATGTTGGCTGAAGTTGGATTACTACTCTGTTTACTCCCTTAAAGACAATTTTTAAGTGACTGGTTAATTTAACTGTTACATGTATGAAACCACTTTGATTTAGGTCCACTTTGACCTAGGTACCTGCTATTTTAGAATAATTTTTTTTAGGGGAAGATATGGAAGATTTAAAGTTGAGGATGTTTAAAAATGAAAAAGGTCTTTTCTGTTTATCTGTTAAATTGTCTGCTTGATTAGACCCAGGTTTTCAAAAAAGCTCAGCTCAGGTTTAAGCACCAGAATGAGGATGAATTTTTCAGACCAAGTTTTTAAAAGCAGTCTTAATTTGCCTGTTTGCCAAATCTCACATTAGAAGCATCTCAGGATCTGCCTTTAAGAATTTATTTTATCTAATGGGGGAAGAAAGGCAGAGTGGAAAAGCAGAATAGGACTACGGAGAGGGAAAAAAGGCATTAAAGCAAGGCTAGAATGACTCAGATCTGAGCATTATTGCAATTTGAAAGGAAAGGAAAGTGTTATTCAGTGTGTTGTGAAAAAGAAAGATTAACAATTTTATGCACAGCGGCAGCAAAAGGATAGTGTTATGTAGCAATAAAACATGTCTTTCCTTACCCAAAACCATCCTTATCCAGAGCCTCACTGATTCAGTGACCTGTGTAACACATGAACAACCTCCAAGAGAAATGCTGGAGATCCAGCCAGCAACAGATTAGGGTTAGATAGGTCCACTAAAAAATGTCGTATGGAATCCCTGCTCATTCTAAATTTATAACCAAAGAGAGGCAAAGTCTGGCCTTTCCTACCGTATTCTGCACACCCCCCACCAAATTGTGCAGGGTTTCCCCTTGGAGTGCAAGAGAGTGTTAAAAAAGCACAGCAGCATTCTCCGTTTGCTTTGTATAGGCATAAATTACTGCACAATACACAGGGCTCAGAAAGTCAGGCCTGTTAAATACAAATTCCTAGGATACGATTCCTGAAGCCTGTGTCAGCCTCAGGATGCATTGCTTATACCTGTCCTGACTCAACTGCCTTAGCTCGGGTGATTTGGTGTCAGCGTGTCCTGGCAAAGAGGGATCCAGTGCCTGTTGTATGACTGAGAAGAAGATACGGAGGCTATCTTTAAAAGTCTTAATGAGATCCCAAACTCCCTTTAGCCTTTCTGCGGATCTGATACCTTTGTGGCTTTCCTCAGTGCAAATCCACTAGAGCAATTCATAACGAGCAGGCACTGGGGAAATAGAAGGAGGCCCTCTACATTTCTACTCCCTTTCGTGTTCATACTTAGGCATCAGGACTGGTGTGAATTGGTGCAAAAAGCCCAGTAGTTCCCTTCCTTTTATGCTTAAGGACCAAATTTTTACAGTCAATGTTGACCGCACAAAGGAGCCTCGGGGGAAGGGGGAAAACATGCAGAATAGCATTCTCTGTCTCACTGCCCCGGACCGCTCTGTGCCAATATCTCTCTACCCTGGAGCAAAGCCCTCCCAGACTGCAGCAAAAGGGGTGTCAACACATAACAAAACGTGCCTAACTCCCCCTTTGCTCTCAAAGTGGCACACGGGCGAGGTAGCCAACAGGCTGCGCTGACTTTCCATCATTCCCAGGGGCCACTTAACTAGACCAGTTCTCCTCCCTTTGCTGCTAATCCGCTGACTCCTTTCAGCCCTTTAATCTCTGTCGCTCCTTGCATCCTGGGGCTGGATGCTGCCTGCCTTACTGCCCAGTGGGTTGGCTGGCTGCCTGGGGGCAGGCTGCCTTTGCTCCCAGCTGTCTGAATGACACCATTTCCTAGCTCTGCTGTCAGGGTGCTTGTCACAGAAGTAGCAGGGGGCCTTCATACCCCAGCAAGTTCAGTTTGGTTCCTTCTTTGCTTCACTTGAATGCTGTAGCCCTGTGTGTGGCAAAGCTGCAGAGTCCCAGCTAAGTTGTCAGAGGAGCAACAGTTCATCTGCAGCACGAAGAGCCCATTTTGGTGCCAGTGGTGTTAACTGGACTAAGCTGTTATTTTCTGACCTGAAAGGAGCATGGTCAGACTCAAAAGCAGCAGAGGACTGAAAGAGCTGATCTTTTCCACTGCAGATTCCTGCCAGCGCGCCAAGGGACACGCGCTCATACGCTCTCTCCATGCGTGCACCCGCACGCGTTCTGGGCACTCATCGTGTGCACGCCCTCTACCAGCCCTCGTAGACCCAAACCCATTCACAGGCGTGCTTCCCGTGACCACCCAAGGGCAGATGCCTTCTGTCATGCTCCTGTGCTGCATGTCCCCAGCCTGTATCCCCCTCTCCCTGCGAGACTGTGTGGTTCATCAGACTTGTCTGCGGCAGGGGTTTGCCGGCTGAGCGAGATACTTAGTGAATTGACACCCATGCTCTCAGCCTTAATCCAATGGGAAAATCTTCCTGAGACATGCCGCAGTTTGCAGAGCACATGCCCTGACCACGCAAGAAGTAGCCTCCAGTCAGACATTCATAATGCTGCCATCTTGTTGCAATTCCTG